CAGAATTCCCCAGCCAGCCTTGCAGGCTGGGGAATTCTGGAAGTCCACCGGGCTTAAAGTTGCCAAGGTTGAGGAACCCTGCTCTAAAACATTCTAGATTGCTCTTCAAACTATTATATCTCCTTTACATCTTTACTGAAGTAGACACTCTTCCCTTTGTTTATAGCACTGTTCCAGAAGACTCTTAATTTTACATTGGAAACATGTTTTAGGTTGTGCACCCATATTAGGTGAAGGATGTGCTTCTAGGCTGACATGCAGCATCAGAGTTAATCTTCAGGTGGAACTGAATCTGGCCAGATTCATAATACAGTCAGACTGCCTCTTATTGAGATGCCTGATTTTAAAAAAAAATGCAGAAGTAATATCTTGCTATGAAAAACTCGCACGATTTTTATGGGATCCCTCGGGTGCATATAGTCATTAAAGATGCTTATGATTCAGAACTGTGTGTTGGGCTGCTTTTTCTTTAATTGGAGCTTTAAATTCCCAACCATTCAGTTTTGTAGGACAGCTGCCAAATGAGCATATGAGCTCTGCTGAGTCTGTGCATTTTCCTTCCATATCCAATTTCTAGTGACCTGAATCTAGGAGCGTGGCAATTTAAAATTGTTTCCTCACAAAGGGGAACAGAATCATCTCTACAACTGCCTTGTCTCACCCCTTCCCCACTTCATTGTTTCAAATTAAAAACCATGATCACTTTATGTGCTTCCAAAGTAGGCTGACATACAGAACAGACCCAGTTCTCCCCGGACATGATAGAAAGTCCTCCCAGGAAAGACTCTTCTGTATTTTCCACTGCTGCATTACTGTTGTTGTTTTTCCTTCCCAAGGTCCCTTTTATCAGACTCTTAACAGTAATGTGTCACATCTGGAAAGCACCATTCCGACCCTATAGCACTGCACAAAATAACCCCATTTTCATTCGTTCTTTCCCTAACAAAAACTCTCACAGCTTCCTTACCAAGAGGGAGAACAAACACAGAGCCCAGGTGGCCAAACTTAGCTGCCCCCTTTTTACACACACTGTGACAGGATATGACTGTTGCCATTTTTCTTCCTTCTCCTCCTCCTCCTCCTCCACTACCAGCATCACCATGTTGGAAATAGTCTGTTTCCTTTAGCTGCCTTTCTCCTAGTTGCCCACCATATCATTAAATGCTGATTTGATTTTTCTGGTGATAAATAAGGTCCTTGAAATTAAGATTGGATGGTGGTCAGGAAAACTTGGTTATGAAGTAGGTAAACTGCATTATCCCAGGCAAAACAATCTGTCCATTTAGCTTTGCATTCTTTCCAACTAATGGTAGTTGCTCTGAGGTGTCTGTTTGTTTGCTATATTTTTATACCATGGGACTCCAAAGTGACTTCTGGAATTTCACATCTTAAAAACATAAAACTTAAAAAAAAAAAAAAAGTAAAACCAGAGTAAAATAATCAGGTGTGAAATTCACTCCATTTGTTCTACCTGGAGATAATCAGAATGAATGTTCTCTTTAGAAAGGAGATAACCTTCCACTAAGTGAGGTTCCATTTCTCTGTCTCTTCCTCCTCTGCCCAGGTTTTCCCTATACATCATTGGGAATAGACCAATGATGATGTAGGCCAAAGGCATATTTTTAAGGGTAAAAGATTTTGACCAAAGTTTATACGAGAACACACAGTGCCTGTATTTTAAACCTCACAGTTTAAAATTAATTTTTTAAAAAAAGAATCAAACATAACCAAATAGTGTGCAGCCTTTTGGATGTCACTACCTTGTTAGAAAATTCTCTGCTGCATAAATCCAGCCCTTTCCCAATTGCTCAGACTAGGTATAGTGGGAAAGACTACAACCAAGAGAGAATATAAGAGAAATGAGGGAACAATGTCTTCAACATGTTGATCCAGATAGAAAAAAGCTCATATATTCAATTCTTGAGTTGTGCAAACAACCCAGTTTTAACACTCCTTCCTTTTGCTGGAGGTTGAACTTTATCTGTTGTGTTCAGAATAGTGACAAGTACTACCCCTCTTTTATTTCTATACATATATAACTTACGCATATTCATCTATAACAGTGTTGTCCAAACTTGGCCACTTTAAGATGAGTGGACTTC